CGAACGTATCTACTTCGGGATATTGGTACCCTGCGCCAAACCTTAAACCAAGACAGGCATAACTCAATCGGCTGACAGCAACTAAGACTGTCGCCGAACAGCAAGCTCCTTCACTTCTAATCACATAATTTTATATTACTAGAAAGAGGGGGGAGGGGGGATTCGAGTCGTCACAAAGCGGGACATTTGCACATCACATGGAAATGAAGGCTAACTGAAGCAGCGAGAAAGGGATCGGCCAACTTCATTCCTTGCTCCTGCCAATCGCCTCTTTTTACAACACAACAAAACATACTGAAATCCATCCTGGCCCAGCGTGGTACTTTTCATTATAATCTCTTCTTTGGACGGTAATATGTAGCGATATTCTCGATAATGTGCTGTAAGCTCCGGCCGCATCGGTGTGATATCAGGCGATGGGTCCAAATCCTTTACATTGTCTTCCTCTGGAATCAAGCGCAAAAGTTAATTCTCGATCGGCATATGGTGGTGGATTATCTCAGTTTTCTACAAACATACAAACAAAAACATGGCAAACTGAGCCCCCTAAGAAGCACAGACTCGAAGTGCTTGTCCTCGTACGCGATCACTGGCACTTGCTGTCTAAAATTTCAAGCTCCTGCTTTTTTATTTTTTGAATTCTGAAATTTGCACGGCTAAGTGTCCCTGAGTTTTGGAATTCCTACGCTTGTAACATCTAGTTTTCATAGATCTGCAGTCAGTTCAACCGAACAAACACAGACTTATTATTATGCTTTTTATTCTTGTGAATCACTGTAAACAGTATTGTGATTTCTTTGCAGCTCCTCAATTGAACGACGAGATCGCGAAAGGCGAGAAAGAACGTCAGTTCCTTTCATTTTTTTCTGGCCGGTAACTGGGAAAACAAACGGGAGAGGAGGCAAGAAAGAGGGGAGGGGAGAAGGGAGGTGCCGCAGTAACTTTCAGTTTTGTGCCTAGTTTTGTGCGGTTTTTGCCTTTCCCAGAGGTATTACACTTTGTCCAGGCATTGTTAATTCGCGCACAATTTTAGGGCATCTTCATCACAACAGCAAAATCAGCATCAGCAACAACAGCATCAGCAACAACAGCATCACCAGCAACAACATCACCATCAGCAACAACAGCAGCCGCATCATCATCATCAACAGCAACAACAGCAGCATCATCAACAGCAACAAAGACACTCACCTCGACGAGAAAGCGAAGAACGGCGAGTACGGAAACGGCGATGGGAGGAACGCGATGATGAGGTATACATCCTCCAGATACTTCCATCGCACATCTTCCTTTAAGATCATCATATCACAGTTATATCAAATATTGGACAGTTTGGCGCTAATATCGGTTTTTCTCACTCGATTTTTGGCAGTAACTTTCTCTAAATAACAG